AATTCTAATTTCCGTAGTATCCAATGGAATCTCTGTAACTTTAATTGATTGTTGTGGAATAAACGGATGTTTTGGTATGATGTCGAGGGGCAAAAACGTGCGTTTTTCTAAATTAGGTAAGACGACCTTACAAAAAGCGTCCCTTTCTTCTTTGTCGGAAAATATCGCCTTGAGTATGCTTTTTGATTGGTCTTGTGGGTGTTTGGCTAGAACAACACCCGAGAATGTATCAAATCTATCGAATACGAAGTCCGTGACGTCAGAGATTTTCGTCTGAGGAGATTTTCCGGAGTAATCGTCTGTTGGAAAGTAAGCGAAAAATTTCGTTTTTTTTGTAGATATTTCTTGTGGGCTCTTCCTGTTGTTTAAAAAATTTTCGGAAGCGTCGTTGGCGTCGTCGACGTTCATTTCACTTTGTTTAGCAATGGTGTCAACCAAGGTTGTTTCACTTTGTAAGATTTCTTTGCCCTTTCCTTTTTCCAACGGAAAAGGGTCAACGTCCATAAGTGGAGTTTCGTCGTTGTTGTTGTTGGAGAACATACTGCTTTCAGGTTCAGCAGTTTGTAGGGTGTTTTGTTTCTTTTTCGGTTGTTGCTCTGGCGTGCCAGGGCGAGAGTGTGGTTTTTGTGTACTTTGGTTTCTGTTGTTCTCTTTCGTTTTGCGTGTTCTGGTCATAGCGGAAAGAGTTTAAGTGACACTTGTGTAATTGCTTTAACTGATTACGATTACATCTTATATAATAATAAAAAACGTGTGTAATGGTGACGCTCAAAATTGGTCGCACAAGTTTCCTTTTTGGATCTTTATGTAACGTCACGTGATATACCCGTTGCAATAGTAGTTAGTATTAGGGGTATGTTTTAAAAAATAATCAAGAATAATCGTTTGAAGGTTTAAAAAGATTTACATTAACTTGCTTTGCCTATTGGCTGAGACGGTACATAACAGATAATATTTATTTGCTTTATTGCCTTGTGTTAATCATAATAAGTGATCATGTGATTTAAAAGGTTTGCGTGCAGTGGGTTAATTTAAGTACTTTCACATATTTATAGTCCAGCTTTCATACTTAACTTCAGATTCCTTTTTCTTTTCATTTTAATATCGTCTACTACTCTTTACAACACCAAATTCATTGTTTATACAAAGTAAAAAATGACTAATGAATCTAATAACAAATCTTTGTTAGAAAATGAAATGTGGTTACAAGAAGCTATTGACAATGAGCATATTAAATATCAAAGATATTCAACTTTTGAAAATAAGGAAAGAATTGGACAAGGATCGATGGGAGAGGTTTATAAGGCAACATCAACTGAGTTTCAAAAGACTGTAGCATTGAAAAAATTTAAAATTTCATCAAAGTTTACTATAAATGAAATTATAAATGAGGTAAATTTCTATAAATTAATTGATTACAACAAAAAAAGCTTTTTCTTTTTTTTAACGTAGTCATGTCATTTTTAGATAAAGCTACATAGAAAAGTGGACTTACATGATAATATTTTGAGATTTCATGGTGTTACTACGTTAGGTAAGCATCAAGTATAATTTATTACCACGCTATATACTTCGGGGGTAACGAAACAAGTACAGTTAGTAATGTATGTATTGTCCATACTTTTATGGTTTCTAATATGTACATATATGAAAAAAAACCATACCATGCATACATTGCTAACCGTACTGCACAGTTTTGCTGATACCTCAGCATAAGGCATATATCCTCAGTATAAGCTTTGGGGCAATTTCCGCTGCGCCACGCCATTTAACGTCTCCAAACTCTATGTTATATTATATATTTATCGTTATAGTACATCCTCCGAGCTTAAAAGAAAATCAACTTATGCTAATTATGGAATATGCAGATGGTGGAACTTTAAGACAATACTTATCTCGAAATTTTGAAGAAATGGATTGGAACATTAAACTTGATTTTGCCAAACAAATTGCAAGCGCAGTAGGATGTTTACACGTGCATGAAATTGTACATCGAGATTTAGTAAGTATACCTATCATATTTTAAATTTCTTTTTAAATTCAAGTAAATTATTTAATTTTGCTATTTAGCACTCGGAAAATATATTTATTCACAAGAATAATGTGAAGATTGGTGACTTTGGTATATCAAAATGCATTTGTGAGAAAACAAGTCAACTATTAAAAGGGTTTGGTTCTATAAAATATACCGATCCTGAATATTTAAATGATCAAAAATATGAAAGAAACAAAAAATCTGACATCTACAGTTTAGGAATGTTATTTTGGAAAATTTCAAGTGGGCGAATTCCATTCGAATCAGATCCATCTGATTATGGTTTGGCCGTTAAAATAATTGGTGGTACAAGAGAAACGAATATTAGAGGAACGCCACTTAAATATGTTGATATTTATACAGGTATTTTTAATTTTAAAATATTTTGTTTTAAATTTATTTCTTATTTTTCTAATCAAGATTGTTTATAATATTTTGATACATCAGCTTGTTGGAATAAAGATATTAACTGTCGACCAACAATAAGTCAAGTTGTTAAAGACCTTAATGATATAAAAATGAATGAGTTTAATGAGTTTAGCATCGTAAATGCAAGTCAAGAACATATAAATTTAAATCAGCCATTTGATTTAGATATTGAAAAGAATGAACAAAAAGAATTTGAATGGTTTTTGAAATCCGCAGAAAGCGAAAATATTGATAGTCAATATGAGGTTGCTATTTGCTTTAGGGATGGCAAAGGCACCAAAAAAAATATTAATGAAGCTATCAAATGGTTTCAAAAATCTTTGGATAATGGGAATAATGCAGCGCGCAAGCCTTTACGCAATTTAAAAAGGAAAAAGAAATTTAATTTTTGCAAAATTAATTAAGCATATTTATCACTATTGTGTGATTATAAGTTTAAGCAATCTCAATAAGTAACATGATATTAATAGCAAATCATTTATGATCAAAAAATAATTTATTCATAGAAATTTTTAACGAAATAATCAAGAGTCAATAGAAAAATGGGAAATCTAAATTTTATTTTTCATTGGTCCACTTCACGGTCATGAACCAAAATTTCAGATTTCCCTTGCAAATACGTTTTTTAAATAATTAAAATAATGTAATAAAAAAAAGTGATTAAATAATAAATTCTGGCAAATTTATAATTTTGATTTTCTTAAATAAAATCGTTTAACGAGAATTTATTAAGTTCAATTCTGAATGTATATATTACGGCATTGGAAATGCGAAAAAATTTAACAATAACGTTCGAGAGTACTGATAAATCATTTGAATTAACTTCTAGATCGGTCAATTTATCTAGTAATACGAATAATAGATTTTAAAAGTAATTCTCATTTGTAATATTATTCATTCATGGATTGCTTAATAAAAAAATAAATGTGATGACGCCAATATATAAATCCTGCGATAAATGAATCGGTCCTTCAGCTTCAGAAATACCATCCTTACCCTGAGCATGCACATCCATTTTCCTTGCTCACACAAGTTTTTTTCTACTTAATTCGAATTTATGAAGGTTATACAATGTCATTTAAGATGCAACGCAAAACAAAACATATAATTAAAAGAGCACACAAAATCACTTACTAATTTGAATTATAATGGCTGCACATTTTATTTGATACGATCGGTATTCAACACCCACTGTATGAATATGTAAAGATGTATGTATATATATATTACTATAGAATGATGAAAATAAATATTTCTTGCGATGCTATATTTTCCGCAGTTCAATAGTCTGCTCGAGTTATTCTTTAAATGTGCCCTTTCAGTGTTTAAGGATTTTCTTTTTAAAATCAATTTATTTTTATAAAATAATTTATACATAATGATTATGTTTTTTTTTTGCCAAAGATTAACTCGAATTGTTAGTTCTAAAATAATAATAATACTAATAATAATAATTCTAAACAATTAAATATATGAATATTAATTTTTTTCCCCTTTTGGTACAAATGTATATATATGTATGTTTTTGTTTTAAAAAAAATAATAATAATTAATAATAATTAACGATGAGAAAACTTCATTAAATTAAATTTTTTGGTGCGGGTAAATTTGTAAAACTTAAAAATTTAGTTTGATAAATAGCATCAGGATGTGAGATGATGACAGGTTTCTCAATATTCATTTTCATTTGACGAGCATTTTCGGCTTCTTCAAATTCTGTAGAATCTCTTTCACCTAAATACCAACGTTTAATTTTATCTCTTAATTCTCTTGTAAAGGGGCGTTGGTATGGATCAGCGTCCCAACACCTTTTCATTAAATTAACATAACATTTTGGGGTAAAATTATCAACTTCATTAATACATGGTCTTAATCCTTCGCAGATTTGACTTGCCAATACTTCGTCATGAGCTCTATCTGAGAAAGGCTTTTCACATGTCGCCAATTCCCACATAATTAAACCGAAGCTATAAATATCAGCATATTTGGTATAATGATCTCCTCGTAATAATTCTGGTGCTACGTAAGGTAAGACACCGTAGACGCCTGAAATTGTGTAATCTGAAGTAGGAATCTCTGCCGGACAACACATCCCAAGGTCCGAAATGAAGGTGGTCGTATGATTTTTTAGAATATTGCCGGAATGAAGTTTTCTGTGAAATGAACCTTCCAAATGAATTTTATTTAAACCTTCAATTATTTCCAAGAGCGTTTCCAATCTTGATTTCCACGTTAAACTCTTGTTGTTACGTTTAAGGTAATTGTGTAAGTCCCCTTCCGCTGCGTACTCTGAAATTAACATATAATCTTCCGACGTTGGATCTTTTGTGATTCCATAACACCTTGGAATATTCTTCTCTTCTAAAAATTGTATATGTATCTGCACCTATATATATATTTTTTTTTTAAAAAAAACAAAAAAAAAAAAAAAAGATGTCGAGAATTTTAGTTTTTATCCTAAACAAAATTTTTTTAAAAAAAAACAGAATTTCCCTTACCTCTCGTATTAATGTGGTAACGTCCTTATCAGAATTAAATAACCTTTTCAACGCAACTTGCTTTTCTCCTTCTCTGAAATATTGATTTGATTCTTGATCCCATCCCCAATTAGGACCGTTTGACCATGTAGCTGAAAAGACAACGCCAAATACACCTTCCCCAATGACTTGAACATCCTTAAATTGTTCAAAAGGAATCCATTCCAAAAAATTTGAAGGAAAAGAAACGAATTCATGCTTAGCCCGAACTTCACGAGATTTTGCTTCACTATCCCTTGACGAAGACGACCTTCCGGAATGATTTCTATGACGGCGAACAAATTGTGGTACGGAAACTTCCCCATAAATTTGATCCGACTCTTGTTTAATCTGAGTGGCACGAATGCACTCATCTAATAATTTATTATTAGATGTCCATTCATCTTTTTGTAACCAATGTCCGATACAAAATTTTTGTAAAGGTATTTCAAGATTTGGATAACATTTTGGACAAACACTCTTACTACCACTTTCAACGCAAGTTAGGCAAAAATTTTCACTTAAATTTCTTTCATTACATTTCTCACATATACTTCTACTCGTTGGTACACCATGCTCTTTCCATTCGTTATATAAAGAATAAATTATTAAAAATGAAATTGGTCGATTATTTTTTGCTCCCCTAAAGTCCTTATGATGTCTAGATTTCCACCATTTACGAAAGTCTTCGGCATCAAAATCATCATTAACGTAAGTTGCTTGTGAATAAACGTTTAAAAGTGTGTTTAAATCTATAGCTCTCTCTCGTATCTCTTGTGTGCGAGCCGACGATGACATATAATATGGTGCATGAAAAAATTCTGTTAATAATAAATCCAATGCTGCTTGATTATCCATTAATCCTGCCATTTATTTCTATTTACAAAAAAAATTCTATTGTAAAATGCGAAAGTAAAAATAGATAAAAATAATTTTTTTTTTTTTTTTTTTAAAAAATGTGAAAAAAAAAAAAAAAAAAATGTGAAACAACAAAAGGAGGAATTTATATTTTTTAATAAAAAAAAACAAAAAACCTGAATTCGGCCGAGTACAAAAATTGTCTAGGTTTAACTTCACATAAATGAAATTCAAAAGAACTTCCTGAAGTAGTACTGAATAACACCGATTTTATAATTCCTGCGGAATTTATGATCTTCCAATGAAACCTTCTAAATTTAGATTAATTTTAATTTCTCTTGTGTTTCATATTTTTAAATCATCGTCCAGTTATAACCAGTGTTTAAAATGTCGTAATACCATGTACAAAAAAAAAATATTAACTTCCTTACTTATAGTACAAACAATGGAAATTATGCCAATAGAAAAATGGAAACTGTTGTGCATTATGTTTTTTTTCATGTGATTCAAGTTCCCCTACGTTATTATTGCTACATTTTAGGATAAAATACAAAAAGTTGGCAAAAAGTTCAAATTACTGATTTAAGCTTTATTACAAAAAAGAATGCATTCATTAGTTTGTAAATTAATAAGACAAGGTAATAAAATTATCCATAGAATTCGTGCTTTGAAGTTAGATAATAAATCGTAGTTATATGAATTTGAAATACGAATTTTTAAATATTGTGGGCCTTTTAAATTTATTTTTAATTGATTTCTTATATTTGTAATTGTTATAATACTAAATTAAGATAAAGGAAACAATTGCTCCGAACATCACGATCGTTTACATTTATGGAAAAATGGAAAATAAAATAACTTAAAATGTCTTTATTAGCCATCATTTCGGGTTAAAGTCGGCTTGCTATATCTAACCAAATAAACCTAATGTAGATACCATAAATACCATGATCTGCCAATTCGAAAAATGATTCGTGCCTATCATGCTTTTCAAAAATTATCTGCCCCATAAGCGATGATTTCTGAAAATTATAAAGTTCGACATCTTAATGTATATGTTTAACATATAATAAAAATCAGAATAGTTAATATGTAATTGACATACTTAAATTATATATTTAATATCTAGTCTTTCAATATAATATTCTGATATTTTGACAGTTTCTTTATTAGAGCTAAATTATATATATAACTAATATTTAGACAAATTTTTATAGCTTGAGCAATCAAATTTCAAACTGATATAACATATGATAAATATATAATAATTCTATATCTTTTATTATTAACTGCAGTATATTTTTTAAGGTATTAATTAATATATTTTCAGAATTCAAAATATAATTTTAGTTTATTTAAAAATCTATACTATTTTTTCATCTTTATTATTAATCAATTATTTTATATATAATCTAAATTACTTTTCTATTATATTACTTGCTAAACTTGAATTACCAATTAATTTTTATTATAATACATAAATTTGATAATTTTTAGTTAACATACCAATATTTAGTAAACTTTATTTTTTGAATTGTATATGCCAGTATTGGATTTTAGACACATTTTTTGATTTTAAATATTTTGAATAAGGTTTTGGATAACATAGAAAAATGTGTCTATAACCTATTCAAAACTGTTCAAAATTGTCTAAAAATTGTCCAATTTCCCAACACTGGTATATACATAAACTGAATATAGTAAATTGGCATTTTATTTTTAATTGATTAAGAATTGTATAAAATTTATTTGTTACTTCTTCATCTTCTAAATTTTCATCTATTCGTTATAAAATATACATAAAATATATTATTTTTAGATAAATAACAAAAAATACCAAATTTATAATAAATATTTTTTTGTAAGCTTTGAATAAATTTTATTTTTTATTAAAAAAAAATTTAGTAAAATTTATAAAAATTTTAAATTAAAATAATTTTTTTTTATTTATCTTAGTTTAAAAAATACAAATAAATTAATATTTAAAGTTTTTTAATAAGATAAGATAGATAATTTATTATTTAAATCATTGTAAATATTAGTAAAAAATTTAATTTTATCATAAACTTTTACTTTAATGAAATTATTAATTAATTTAAAAAAAATTTTTAATTTATTATTTTTATTCATTTTATTATTTTATTTATTTAAATATATATAATATTTATTTAAATATTAGAAATTTTTTTACAATAAGATAAATTT